TCCCTGGTTTTAATAAAAAAAATAATTCAAAAAAAAAAAAAAAAGCAAATAAAAAAAAACCAAATAACAAAAAAAAAAAAAATTTTTTCAAAAATTGCTGTCCTGGCAGGCAAAAGAAGCATCCCAATAAAAAAACATTATCCAGTAACTAAAAAAAAATAAAAAAAAAAAATTAACAAAAATGGCAAAAAAAAAAAAACATAAAAAAAAAAAAAAAAAAACAATTTACCTAAAAAAAAAAAAACTACAAAACACAAAAAAAAATTATCAACCAAGTAATTTTTTAAAAAAATTTCAAAAAAAAAAATAAAAACCAAGATAAAAAAAACGAGTATTATTTCACAATCATTCTTAAAAAAAAATACCGAAAACGGAATGAAAAAAAAAAAAAAATTTTTAGTAAAAAAAACGTTTTAAAATAAAAAAAAAAAAAAAACATAAATTTTGCAAATCTGGCATAAAAAGCACTAAAAACTGTGTGCAAGGCATTAAAAAAATCTGAAAAATTACCAATTTTTTTTCGATAAATTATTAGGGCCCAATCAAAAATAATTTTTATTTCCAAGATATTAATGGGATCATTCCAAATAAAGGACCAAAAACCCCCAAACATACGTCAAAAAAAAGCAAATAAAAAAAAAAAAAAATGGATTTTTGGCAAAGATTAAAAAAAATAAAAAAAATTAATAAGTGGCCAAAAAATTAAAAAACCCCAATAACAAAATCCCAAAACAAAAATGTGGAAAATTTTAAAAATTTGTTAAAAAAAAATAATAATGTATTTAAAAAAATAAAAATAAAAAAATATTAAAAAAAAAATAAAAAATAAAAATTAAAAAATTAAAATGGTTAAAAAAAAAAAAATTAAAAAATAAAATATTTTTTTTTAAAAATTTAAAAAAAATTTATGTTTTCAAAATAAAAATAAAAAATTAATATAAAAAACATTAAAAATACATATTTTTTTTTCTGGATTTTTTATCAAACATATATGTTTTTTGAATAATATTTTTATTCAATAAATTAAAATTTTTAAATTTTATATTTTATTTAAAATTATAAACAATTTGTTTATTTAAAATTTAAAATATTTTTTTTTTTTTAATTTTTCCACCAATTTATTTTTTTTATTAAAACAATTATTTTATATTATTTTTATTTTATTTTAAATTTAATATTTTTTAAAAAATACAATTTTATTTTGAATAAACATTTTTATTTTTTTTTTTATGTATTAAGCATCCAAAAATTAATTATTTTTTTTTGAAATATTATTTTCAAGTAATTTATTATTTTTTTATTTTTTTTACATATATAATTTAATTATTTTTTTTTTATTATTTTTTTATATGCTTTAAATTTTTATGATTTAAAATATTATATTATTTTAAATTAAAATAATTTTTAATATATATTATATAAAAATATTATTAATTTATTTATTTTTTTTTTTATATTAATTTATTAAATAATTTTTTTATTATTTTTTATTTTTTTATATTTTTATTTTTTTTATTTTTTTTTTTTTATTTTTTTTTTAATTTTTTTAGTTATTTTTTTTTTATTTTTTTTTTATTTTTTATTTATTCAATGTTTTATATATTAATATTTTTAATATTATTTTTATTTTTTTTATAAATTATTTAAAATTTTAATTTTTTAGTTTTATTTTTTTTTTTTATTATTTTTTATTTATTTATTTTTATTTTAAAATTTTTATATACTTTTTATTTTATATTTTATTATTATTATTTTTTTAATTTTTTATTTATTTTTTATTATTTTATTTTTTTTATTTAAAAAATTTTATTTTTTTTTTTATTTTATTTATTATTTTTTTTTTTTTATTATTTAGTATATTTATTTATTATTTTTTTTTTAATAAATTTTTATTTATATATTTTTAAAAATGAAAATTTTTATTTTTTTTTTTTTTGATTTTTTTTTATTATTATTTTTTTTTTATTTATTTTAAAATATTATTTTTAATTATAAAAAAAATTTTTTTTTATTTTTTATTTTTTTTTTATATTTTTATATTTTTTATAATTTTTTTTAATTAATTTTTTTTATATTATATATTTTTTTAATATTATTTTTTTTTTTATATTTATTTTTAAAATTTTATATTTAATTTTTTTATTTTTTATATTATAATTTTAGTAATTTATTTTTATTTTTTATATATATTTAATTTATTTATTTAATATTATTTTTTTTTTTTATAAGGTTATTTTTTTTTTTTATATTTTTGTTATATTTATATTTTTTTATTATTATAATTTATATTATTTTTTTAAAAATTTAAAATAAATATTTTTTAAAAATTTTATATTTTTAGGAATATGTTTTTTTTCAATATATTGATTTATTTTATTTTTTTTTTAAATTGTTTATAATTTTTTTTTTTATTTATTTATAATTAAACAAAATTTTATTTTAATTTTTATTTATTTATTTTTTATGTATAAAAATTTATTTTTTAAAAAATAAATATTAATATTTATGTTTTTATATTAATTATTTTAATGTTTATAAATTATATAGTTTTTTTAAAAAAAAATAATGTTAAAAAAATACAAAAGGTTTAAATTTTATAAAAAAATAACAAAAAAAAAATAAAAAATGTGGGTCTTTCTACGTGTTAATATTATATGTTTAAAATTAAAAAATACAATAAAAATTTTTCTTTTTTTATAAAAAAGTGTATAAATTTGGTTTTTTTTGAGGAGTTAAAAAAAAATTAAAAAATTTTTGTACCTCAAAAATTATAATTATGTTTTATAACAAAATATAGTTTAGTGTAAAAAAAATAAATAATGAAGTTAACAATAAATCAAAAAAAAAATAAGTGTCAAAAAGTAATTTTTTGTTAAAAAAAAAATGTGTATACAAAAAAAAAAATGTCTGTATATGTATATAAAATAAATGTGTTTTGTATTTTTATAAAATGTAAAATGTGTAATATATGTTTAAATGTAAATAAAAAAACCAAAATAAACAAAACAAAAACCAACAACACAACACAAAAAAATTAGAAAAAGAAAACAAATGTGTATATATATATGTTGTATATTCCCCACATAATCTTTGTTTTTTATTTTTTTTGTATTATTATATATAAAACCACCACATAAACAACCACAAACCCACAACACATGTGTGAGTGCAGAATCGATTTCAGTGCGACCACATGACCACACTTGCTCCTTTCATAAAATATGCCCTTTACTTTTATTTATAGTGACAATTGTTAACTTTCAGCTGTCAAACTGAAAGAAATCAAGAAGTGTAATTTTTTTAATGTCTTTAGCAATATATGGGATTTTTTTTTTTTTTTTCCTCTTTGGGAGGTAGTTTTTAGTTTTTCATAAGTGACAACAAAGGTATTTGTAGGCCATTAGCTAGTCGAAGAGAGCAGATACTCAAGTGCTTACTATAAGGCTCCATGCACACTTTTTTGTGTTTTTTTAATTTTTTTTTTATTTGAATTTGATCTGTGTAAAGTCACATTAAAAACATGAGTTGTTTGCGTTTTTGGTTTTTTTTTTTTTTTTTTTTTTTTTTTTTTTTTACCCCAAAAAAAAAATGTTGTTTTGCTCAAAAAAAAGCATTCAAAGACGCCGGTTTGCCACGTTTGGCCACATTTTGACATGTTTTCCAGTGTTAGAGCATTTTTACAGCTTAAAAAACGCTAGAAACCCAATAGCCCTGGGTTTTTTCCCAGCCAAAAAATGCCCCTGCCAAAAAAACGCTGATACAGTCTGTGTGCATGGATACATAGGATAACATGCTGGAAAGTTTACTGGCTGTAAAAAAAAAAAAAAAAAATGCCAAAAAACAGCAGCTGTAAAAACTTCCAGTGTGTGCTTGAGGACTAAATGTACCAATTTTTTAACAACAATATATATTTTTTTAATATATCGGTTTGGGAAAAAAAAATAAGTTTTGCTATTAGCTTTGTAGGTATACAGTGGTAGGAGCCATTTATTTTAAGTATTCAACCTTATTTTATGTATAGGTTAAAGCTGATCTCCAGCCCTACTTTTTCGGCATGGTCACACCATTTGCAGTAGAATGTTATGGGCGGTCTTTCCCAGTGCAGTCCTAACGCAAAGACCAGGCACTATGCTTTGTTTTCTATTGAGTTACTTCAAACCACTGCGTTGTGGTGCTGTGCTCTCAGGTCACACCAGCGGTCAAGCTTTCAGCTGCTGTGAATGAGCCCTCAGTCTTACCCAGCTGTAGAGGTTCCTCTGTGGATTAGAAGCTGCAGCAAGTCAGAGCTTGCTTCAGTTCTGTGCTGGAGGACACCCAGCAACATATAACCCTTTTCTCTTCAGCCTTACTGTCCCTGACCCACCTGTTTATCCATTGGATTTTGTCTTTCAGTCATGGAGATTCAGCATTTCATAGGAGCATTGCCTTGGGTGGTCTACATGCAAATTTATTCTGCCTAGGAATGCCCAATACACCAGACTTGCATCCACCCATCAAGTCATTTTAATTCTCCTTAAGAGCCGATCCACTGTTTGCATCAGGGCTGAGCCATGATCTGCCTGTCTTGCATAGAGAATGCAGAGACCCAGTGGTGGTGTCATTGGGACGAAAATAGGAAGTTTAATGAAAGCTGAAAAGCTTTAATAGCATGTTAATGAGGTAGGGGGGTAGGAAGGAACTAAGGAAGGCAAAATATAAGGGTAGAGGGAACTGCCTACTTGTTTATAGGGCAGACTATTGTCACATAGTGAAGCTCATTTTTTTATAATTGGATTAAAACAAAAAGCAGCATGGCATGTTATGAAAGTTAAAGCAAATGTCTTGCTGGAAACAGCACAGTTTTTTGTTTTTTTTTGTTTGTTTTTTCTGCTTGCCTTTTTTGATGGACAAAACAAGATAAACCTTTTTAATGTTTCTAAAAAAAAAAAAAAGTTTTTTTGGGAAACTCTGCTAACTAATGATAACTTATGTTCTGACTTTCTCTGCTTATCTTTGTGCAGCTGGCCCGACGTCTTCCTGCCCGGGTTCAAGGATATCCTTGGCATCTGGTGTACAGAATGCAAGAGCATGGAGCCAGCCTGAAGACATTGTACAGGAACCTTAGTTCTCTGGACAGCCCAGTGCTCTTGGTTGTGAAAGATATGGATAACCAGGTGAGAAATGAAGTCTTTACCAGGGCTGTGATGATTGTATGCATTGGCTGTCATGAAACACTGAAGTACTCTAAGAACTGGAGTTTTTTTTCTTTGCAGATACCAGTTGAAACTTTCAAAACAGATGCAAATTTAAGGCCTCATGCACACGTTTTTCTAACTCTCCTAGAAGCCTTCCCTTCCAGGCAGCAGTGTTTTGGCAGAAAAAACACCTGGCCCTGTAAAAGTGTTTTTATCGCTTTTTGGCGCATCGAGTGCTGGGGCGTTCATTTCACTGGCCAGAATAATAATTTATTCTAGCCATGGAAATGGATTAACACTCAAGCGCTAAATGCGTCTAGCAGAAAAAAATGCCAGACACCTGTAAACGTGCATTAATGCTAAACACCACTGCTCCTGGCCCACTTCCAGTGCCTCCAAATGTTCCCATCTCTAAAATCCTCTATGAATGCACTGTATGTGTCCATGCACACACAGACCTTTAAAGTATTCAGACCTCCTTCACTTTTTCAGTTTTGTTGCAGGCTGATATTAGTTTACATTCCTTTTTTTTTTTCTCATTAATCTACAATAGGTACCCCATAATGACAAAGTGAAAACAGATTTTTAGAAATGTCTGTTAATTCATTACATACAAAACAGAAATATCACATTGGCATAAGTATGTAGGCCCTTTGCGACAACACTTGAAATTTTAGCTCAGGTGCCTCCATTTCTCTTGATCTTTGCTGAGATGTTTCTACACCTTGATTGGAGACAGGATTATTGCAAGGCACCGATCTGGGGAAGGCTACAGAAACATACACTATATTGCCAAAAGTATTGGGTTGCCTGCCTTTACACGCACATGAACTTTAATGGCATCCCACTCTTAGTCCATAGGGATCAATATTGAAGTGGCCCACACTTTGCCGCTATAAAAGCTTCAATTCTTCTGGGAAGGTTGTCCACAAGGTTTAGGAGTGTGTCTATGGGAATGTTTGACCATTCTTCCAGAAGTGCATTTGTGAGGTCAGGCACTGATGTTGGATGAGAAGGCCTGGCTCGCAGTCTCCGCTCTAATTCATCCCAAAGGTGTTCTGTCAGGTTGAGGTCGGGACTGTGCAGGCCAGTCACGTTTCTCCATCCCAAACTCACTCATCCATGTCTTTATGGATCTTGCTTTGTGCACTGGTGTGCAGTCATGTTAGAACAAAAAGGGGCCATCCCCAAACTGTTCCCACAAAGTTGGGAGCATGAAAATGTCCAAAATGTCTTGGTATGCTGACGCCTTAAGAGTTCCTTTCACTGGAACTAAGGGGCCAAGCCCAACCCCTGAAAAACAACCCCACACCATAATCTCCCGTCCACCAAACTTTACACGTTGCACAATGCAGTCAGGCAAGTACCGTTCTCCTGGCAACCGACAAACCCAAGTGGTGTGAAGTGGTGCTTTACACCACTGCATCCAACAGTGATGTAAGGCTTGGATACAGCTGCTCAACCATGGAAACCCATTCCATAAAGCTCTCTGTACACGGTTGTTCTAATTTGAAGGCCACATGAAGTTTGGAGATCTTTTAGCTATTGACTCTGCAAACAGTTGACGACGTCTGCGCACTGTAGGCTTCAGCATGCGCTGACCCCACTCTGTCATTTTACATGGTCTACTACTTTGTGGCGGAGTTGCTTTTCCAAGTTGCTTCCACTTTGTAATAATACCACTAACAGTTGACCGTGGAATGTTTAGTAGCAAGTAAATTGCTACTTATTGCACAGGTGGCAACCTATCACAGTACCACGGTTCAATTCACTAAGCTCCTGAGAGTGACCCATTCTTTCACAAATGTTTGTAGAAGCAGTCTGCATGCCTAGGTGCTTGTTTTTATACACCTTTGCCCATGGAGGTGATTGGAACACCTGAATCCAATTATTTGGAGGCGTGTCCCAATACTTTTGGCAATATAGTGTATCTGCTGCACTAAAGTTTTCCAAGAGCACAGTGGCCTCCATAATTCTCATATGGAAGAAGTTTGACACAACTAGGACTCTTCCAAAAGCTGATCGCCTGGCCAAACTGAGCATTTGGGGGTGAATGGCCTTGGTAAGAGAGGTGAGCAAGAACCTGATGGTCACTCTGACCAAGCTCCAGAGATCCTGTGTGAAGATGGGACAAAGTTCCAGAAGGAAAACCATCACTGCAGCCCTACACTTATCTGGGCTTTATGGCAGACTGACTAGACAGAAGTCTCTCCTTAGTGCAAAACACATGAGTCTGCTGAGCAATCTTTTAGGTGCTTTTTTGCACCCTCAGACAGCCCCAAATAATACAGTCTTGGGGAATACAGTGATTAGATAAGTTAGAAAATGTTTAATCTAAAAACTAATATAATTCAGTAAAATATTAATGCTATTCAGAAACATTGCCCACTATGCAACAAGAGGAGACCTGCATGATGTACCTTTTTTTAAAGTGTTACTAAACCCACAACAGTAAAATCAGTCTGTATATGCAGTAGGGTATGCTTGTTATACTCACAGTGGAAGTTAAGGGGTTAATACTCTGCATTGTGTAAAGATGTTTGATCCTGTCTTCTCTGATCCTCTCTTTCCATGCTGCTCAGTTCATCTCCTGATAGAATACAGCCTCAAGGACCCTCTGCACATGCTCAGTTTGGTGTGTATTGCTGTAGTTTCTTTTTCTAGGGAGTGTGCATGTGACCAGCACAGGGCCAATCAGTGCTGTCCAGACAGAGGATCAGGGGTTATGCAATCTCACAGGGCAGTGAGAGGAGAATGAAAACCCCTCCTACAAGCTTTAACCAGTGCTCAGCTGGACACTGATAGAAGTGATAGCAGTTTATATTTACTAAAATAATTGCATTTCCATGGTCTGTGTATTGTGGGAGACCAGATATAATGGACGCAGGCTCCTGGGTTTTATTAACACTTTAATTCAATTATTATACAATACTAAGTCCTTGGCGCCGAGAGTACGCTAATATGCGGCCTTTTGGTGGCTAGGCCTTGATGCCAAGAAGTCACATGTTTTGCGTATCAAAATGTAAACAAACTGTGCCGAGAGCATGTGCGTTGTGCTTGCTCCCGGCAGAGTTACTGGTGCCTAACGGAAAGCTCGCGATTACTACTTGCGATCGGAAATTTTTCAAGTGACTGCTGTGACCGCCAATCATGGTGGTCACATGAACATAAACCCCACCCTGCCTCCTGGCATCAGAAACCCCTTAAAGGGCCGGGAGGCATCGGCGTAAAGGGATTAAATGATCGTGAACATGCTCAGTTAGGCTGCAAGTTGACTGAGGAAAACTTTGGATTAGCTATTCTAAAAACACATTAACAGGAGCTTTGTGGGTTTTGCTTGATGTGTTCATATCTTACTATGATAAAAATCCTCATTGCTGCATCCTCCCGTATGTCGTTTGTTTCTGTATTTATAAAGTAAGTTTGACAGGAGGCATATGCAAACATCACAATCCTGTGCAATTTATAATGAGCATATGATGAAAAATATATAGAAAAGTTACTTTCAGCTAAAACCACATTTCAATTGATCAGCAGGTCCAGAAATACAAGCAGTTGAACCCACTTAGTTTGGCCGTAACTCTTCTCACTTCTTTTGGTCATTAGGGCTCATCTTTAACATTGAAGGCCAATAAAGAGGCTCGGGAGTTGGGAAGGCAAGGCAAAAGTCATTCCTAATCGTTCATTAAGTGACAGAGGGTCAGAGGTATTCTAAGAGAACATAGGGCCAAATTATACTGCTACCTACAAGAGAATCGAACACTGGCAAACAAAAAAGCTGCTAGTCGGCCAGTTAAAGCCTCTCCCCCTTCCAGTATGCTCCAGTTTCTTGCTAGGGACTTAGCAGAATGGATGACTTTTTATTTATACTTTTTATTTTTTTCTATGGCAGAAAAAGGCAAACCTAGTTTACTTAAAGATTATGTGAACCAAACCTTTCATATTCCTGATATGTGCCTGCTGTACCATGTACATGTATAAAAGTATCATGTCTTTTTTTTGTGTTGCTTCCTTTGTGTGAAATCCCTGGTCTTCCTGCCAGTCCCTCTGCTTTCCTATTAAAAACACTTGGCATGAGAGCACAGTGTGGTCATTTCTCTAGCTATGCTGGGAACTCAGCCTGCTCTCCTCCAATGATGAGACTTCTGCTGCTGACACGCCCCCCTGCCTAGCCTTCACCAGTGTTCTGCTGTTTCTCACCCCCCCCCCCCCCCCCCGCTCTCTGAGCTCTTTATGCAGATGAGAATGTGATCCCTTATAAAAAAGGTGGAAAAAGATATTTGTAAGGTTTTTTTTATATATATAGATAGATAGATATACAAATGTTTTTTCCTTTCATTTCTATTGTAAACTGAATGGGTTGTTCCACAAGGTGAGGGTTCGCATATACTTACCACATGTTTTTGTTGTCCTTTAGCTATGTTTTAAATCAGGATTCTTTGTTAGCTACAGGTTCAAGCAATCTTATTTTGCAGTTTCCTTTTTACAAAGTTACATAGATTGAGGCTAAAAAAAAAAAAGACACTGGTCTATGCATTTCAACCTATGTAGTTTTTATCCTCGAACAATTCTCATAGCCCTGTAAATTGTGCTTCCTGAGGAAGACAGAATTCCTTCTGACCTTGTGTCCCATAATAAGATCCAAGAAAAGTATTTTTCAAAAACTTGTTTTTTTTACAGAAAAAGTCTAGGTTTACATGTAGGTTTAGCTGTCTCTTGACCAACTGATTGTTTTGACATGCGGTTCCAGTGACAGTAATGTTTACTAAAGAATCTCTTAATTATTAAAATTGCTTGGGTGTGTGCCACATGAACCTCAGAAAAAACGACTATAATAAATATATATTTATATATGCACAGTTTATGGTGTTTGTGTTGTCTGGAATGCAGAAAACATGAATATTTCACGGTTTACATCTGTTATTACATGCCCTTGTGTGAATTGAAAAGTGGAAAAACAGGTTGTTGCTTACAGTAAGCAATTCAATTCATTTTGCACTGATAGACTTGTCAAATGTTTTTCTCTTTTGACCACTTTTGGTGTGTGCATACTGATGCTGCTTCCCTTCAGGACAGATAACAGCAGCTTACCCTTTATAGAAATTAAACCTCAAGTTTAGACATGGCTGTGTTCACATGGTTACCCCAATGTAAGTATACATGTGCCACAGCTGTGGGATCCCATGGAAGCTGGAAGTTACTGTAATAGGCTCCAGTGCTACAGTGATTGGCACTAGTTTCTTGGTCTTTGGCCAAGTGGCTGCCCTGCTGCTTACTAAACATAGGTCACATGCTTGGCAAAGTTACCATTCAGAAACCAATTTGTATTTTCTCTATGACTATAAAGCAAGGTGGAGAGGCTGGGCGGGAACATCACAATCTTCACCTTGTCCAAAGAATGCTTTGCTTTCAATGAAAAAATGCAAAGTGTTCTTTTGAATGGCACCCATCTTAAGCAAATGACCTAATGTGTTCAGTAAGACGCACAGTACACCGAAGTCAATGGCAATCACTGTAGCAGAGGTGCTTATGACAGAGATTTCTAGCTTCCACAGGTATGGCACGTACTTACTTATATTAGTCCAAGCTGGACCAATGTAACTATGAAAAATAGACATACCTGAGCATCCACTTTAAAGTATCACTAAAGGCTCCTATATGATGGTCTATGCAAGTACCAAATTCAGTTTCTGTGTGATGTACAATCCTCGTAAGCCCCTAAGTTAAATCCTTGTTCATTTGTGCCCTACACACTCCCCATCCCAGACACTGTAGACCTCTGTGGGAGGGTTTCATTGACCAATGTGGTGCTGTCCAGAAAGCAGTGGGTAGGGTTAGTGTGGCCTGGTGCTGACTGACTCGGCAGTTACAAAGCTGATAACCTCGCTCCCTGCAGCCTTTTTTTCATCCCAATATAGTGCAACCTACATCAGAGTGACAACTTTGCTCTGTATTCTGGATCAGTGCAGCATTGTTCCCACACCATCACAGGAAGGTATATTAGGTGGAATTCACTGGTGGGATCAACCGATATTTGTAAGAATAAGGGGGGCTAAGAGAAAACTATAAGCATAGTTTAAAATGAACTACTTCAGCGCATCATTAAAAAAAAATGGAAGCCATGATTCTATTTTAAAGCTGGTTAATGGAGGTGTCACAATGATCTAAGTTTTTACTTGGATCCAGGCTTAAATGCCCCATAGGGCTTGCACCAGGCTTACCTGTATATGAAATATCTGCCATTATATAATAATTTTGTATAGGCCAGACAACACAATAGAACATTACATAATTAAAATCCAGCCTAAATCAGTTTATCTGAAAGTGGAATTCCAGCTTAACCCTAACTATATTGGATATTTGAAAGTGGAATTCCAGCTTAACCCTAACTATATTGGATATTTGAAAGTGGAATTCCAGCTTAACCCTAACTATATTGGATACTGAACTAATACTGGAGTGGCCTTAAAATGGGTAAGAATGTACATCTTTTTTACATAGGTTAGTAAGCATAGGTGTTAGGAGGGGGGAGGAGACAGTTTTAAGAGTAGTAACGTTAAGCTGGAATTCCACTTTAATTACACACATAGTGCCAACATACTGTATTAATGAAAATCCTAAGCCTTCTTAGTGTCCATACAATTATTTAGGAAAACCCAAAAATTAAAGTCCATAAATCTTTTCTTCCAATTTAAAACACGCCGTATAAATCCAGTAAGTGCTGTGTACCTCAAAATAAAAGAAAACTCAATAGTGTATTATCCTCACAACATAAATTCATCAATAATCCCCAAAATTAGTTATATCAAAAATCCTTATTAATTTCATGCAAAAACTCATAAACCGTGAAAACGCGTGATTGTGAAACACTCTGTGTAATATTACTATGTATAATACTTGGTGAACACTCAGTGTACACTTCTAATGTGGCTGAATTGCATACCCTTACCCTAATAAGTAATAAGCCAGCCTTTTTAAATAAATCCAAGGGAGGATATGGATCTGCTGGAACCCGATGGGTACATTCTGTTCCCCCAATGCTCTTTCAAGTACTCTTGCCTCCTTTAGTACTCCCACAACCATTCATAGAGAGAGAAACAGATCCAAAATAGTGCAGTATGTTTGAGATAAATAACTCCACGCTTTAATAAAATATGCTTACATAAAACGCTAAAAAAATGGATGTACAAAGTAAAATTGTACATATCACCACAACTACTAACACATGTCAACGTTGCAAAATTGTGCTTGGGCATTGATTTGTTTTACCCTTAGGCGTGAAGGGGTTAAACAATCAAACTTAAACAAGAATATAGTACAAAAGAGTATTTTCAGTAATTGTTTAGACTGGTGAAAGATGCTGAAGTACCTGCATATGGAAAGGACCTAATGGGTGCATTTATACCTATGCAGTGTTTCATGCCTCTTAATGTAAAACACGTGACAAGTATGTGGAAAAATTTGTGTTAGTAGCCTTTTGAAGTGCATTTTGTATCAAAATGCTTGTTTCATAGAAATGTATGCTAGCGATTGCAAAAGACACATTTAACATGCAATAAAGGAGGCAGATAATTGCTTTATAAAAGTAAGAACTTAATTTTCTTTAAAAACATTGCTCATATAAATTAGGACCAATTCACACCAGATGCAGTCCAGTGTGTTTTTTTTTTTTTGTTTTGTTTTGTTTTTTTCTGCATCCAAAATGCACAGCACTGTACTTGAATTCAGCAAAATACACTGGAAGGCACCTAAATGCACTGGAATGCACATGCTCCCATTTAAAATAAAGAAAAACAGAAAATGCACCAGAATGCGTCAAAAACATCCCGGAACGCATAAAAAATGTGCCACAACTGCATCCGAACTGCATTTCTATGCTATAAACCGGCCCTTAATGAAAAAGTAAATTTTTAAAGCACTGCACCTAAACTGCAAAGGTGTCCTTTCTGTTGAACTGAAAGTTTTTTTTTTTTTTTTTTTCAGGTATTTGGAGCTTATGCAACACATCCATTCAGAGTCAACGATCATTACTATGGCACAGGCGAGACATTCCTCTTCACATTTAGTCCTGATTTCAAGGTAAATGTTTTACATAAACATTGTATCGTGTGTCTAATAACTGATTGCACTTTTGATTCTACAGTTCACAAAGTAGTCAGAAATGTAACTGGCTGCCAAAGAGCCTTAGTACAGAATAAAACTGCAGTGTATCTTAGGCCCCTTCACACGAAGGGTCTGATCAGTTCCACCTGTCAGTTTTTCAGACAGACCTGATTGGACCCTCTATTCATCCCTGTCAACCACTGGGTGTAAACGGACTTGTCTGTTTACACCCACCTACCTCTAATCCAATTAAAAAAAAACAAAATGCGCACTCCCAGCACTGAGACCGTGGTCTCCCTGAGAACCCAGGTCCTGTACCAACAATGGGGACCCAAAACTCTGGATTCCGGGTTACCTGAACGCTGTGATGGCCTCTGATCTCTCTCTCTCTTTTAATTTTTTTTTAAATTCGTATCAGTTAGTGTCAGGTCAGTGTGTTGTAGGTAGGATAAAAAAAGCAAAATGCACACTATTGTTTCTGGGCTGTACTACAGGTACAAACAACAAATAACATACACATATGTAGTATTCTTGGGATCATTGGGTACAGGAAAATTTATTTTCAGTTGTTCTTTGGTGGTGGGTTATGGTAGTAGCAAGAAATATACAGCTAAATTAAAAAAATATATATTTTTTTAATTTTTTTTTACTATTTTGGGCCACTGTACAGGACCTTTTGTGTGAGGTCCTGATCATGTGATCACTGATTGGCCAATCAGTGATCACATGAATAGTAGTAGGCAAGATGTCACTTCTGACGACATCGCTTACTACTTGTGAAATCTGTGAATGATCACAGAGATCACATGGTACAAGGCTATTCACAACAACCAATCACAGCTCTCACAGTATTTCTCAATGGCTGCAAGAATGCAGCCAGAGAGAAGGAGAAATTATTGCTTTTACAGCCTTTTATGGGTGCGAAAGCAATCAATGTAAAAAAAAAAAAAAAAAAAAAAATCTTCATCACCCCCCGCAAGTAGTACAGGTTCACTATGGTGATACTGTACTGCTAGGGTGACAGTATGTTATAAAAAAAATAAATAAATAAAATGTAAAATTTTTGTTTATAAACGAATTTGGGTTGTTGTGTGTTATCTTTTTTTAGTAAAAAAAAAAAAAAACATTTTGGCCAAGATTTATGAAGAAAGATTATTTATCTTAACACAAAATTTTTGGACTTTTTCATTTATATAGCAGAAAAAAAAAATCCCAGTGGTGAATAAATACCACCAAAATAAAGTTTTATCTGTCTCAAAAAAAAAATGCTAAAAAATTCATATGGGTACAGTGTTGTACGACCGCGCAATTGTCATTCAAAGTGTGACAGCGCTGAAATTGGCCTGGACTGGAAGGGGGTGAAAGTGTCCGGACTTGAAGTGGTTGAGTGGGATTTTTTTTTTGTTTTTTCCCCCTATTCATACCTACTTAGGTGGATGTAGCATCAGTCCGATGCTGCATCTGCCCCCATCGGCTCTAAGTGTGAGAACTCAGCGATCACTGATAGTAATTGCTAATTAAAGATTTTTGTTTGTGTAAAATATTTGTGTAGCGTGCATGGTTGCCAGGATAATGAAGGGGAAGGTTGCCAGCACATGTTTTGTAATGGTGCATAGTCGTATGTCCAGCAGTGGATGGGGGATTGATGGCGATCGCTTGAGCAGAAGGTTGGGACACGTTTGTGGTGTATGAGTTCTAAGTGCCCCAGATGATGGCATCATTCCATCTCTTCTTGCCTGCTAATACAAAGAGCAACATTGGGAAAAGACCTGCTAGAAGTATGCACTGCAAGCATTGAATATGGGAGTGCAACACTTTGGATTTTAACAAAGGTCGTTAAAGGAAGCTTCACACATTCTAGTGCTTTTCTTTATTTAGCAACTTTGACTTCTTCAGGAAGAGTTAATTGTCTAGCAAAGCCCTCTCCTGGGAAGGGGGGAAGGTGAATAATGCAGAAAGGAAGATTTCAGGGTTTCAGGGATCCTGCTGCTTTTGCCTTCATGGATGCTGAATGTAAAGTCTACCCATTTGGTGACACCTAGTGGCCCTTTTTGAAAATTACTTTTTATAAAGCATAACTATTAAAGATTTTTGCATTTTTGTACAGCTGAATTGAAATTGTATTTCTTGCTCTCAGTTTCAGACTGTAGTTTTGGAAATGTTCTGAATCAGATCTGCTTGAAATAGAGAGATACTTACAACTGTTATTAGTATGTTGCAATGCCTCTTTATTATCAGGCTATTTTTGAATGAGACCAGACGGGCTTTCTTTTTGTAATGTTTCCCTTATTTTCAGTCATAAAAACACATATAATTAAAATAGGACAGTACAAACACCCTAAATGACCTTTCTGTAAAGTAGACACACCAAGCTGATCTCATTTTTTGCTAATATTTTTTTTGGTATTGAAAAATCATGCTGGCATTGAGGGGGTTATTACATAGAGCTTGGTAATGGTGCACTAGAGTCATTAAATGTCCAGGTCATACACAGGAGGAAGAGGTGAAGGGACTGATGTACAGATCACATACTGGGGGAAAATGGAGATGAGGGGGTTAATGTACAGATGTGTAGGGCAAGGTAGGTTAAGTGGTTAATATACAGGTCACTGCAGAGACCAAATAGAAATTATATATAGAGGAAAAGAGGGGGTTTAAAGAGTTAAACAAATCCACAATTCTTGCTACTTAACAGGTACTAATGAATTGTTGATTTATTCCTTTGCCCCTTCCATTACCATAGAGGAAGAAGGAACTGACTTACCAACGCAAACACTACAATGTTTATACTGGTGATTGTCGTGACATGGTACAGAGTCTCTTAGATTGGCTCTGTACACAGTGTCTGTGAACCAAGGTGTCCATGGATGATTTCTCTAGTTCCTTTTTTTTGCTCTGGTTGTGTGTTTGAATGAATGGATGTCCATTCATCACTAGTCTATATAGAACCCTTCAGGGGAAAGGAGACTCCCTGAATCCTGATATCATGGCCAGCACTGGGGGATCAACTGAAGAAGCAGCAGCAGCAGCAACATGTCAGGTAAGTCTCCACCTTTTGATGAAAAATTTTGAAAAGGTAATTTTGAAAAAGATATCCTTAAGTATCACTTTATAAAGTGGAGTTTTAGTGAAACTAAAAAAATAAGTCAGCAGTTACAAAAACTATAGCTTCTGACTTTTAAAGAAAACAGACACTTACCTGTCCCTCGATCCTGTGGTGTCCTCCCTGCAGCCTGTTTCACTGGCCGTCCTGTGTTCCCGGCACTGGCATCTGCAGTGTGCGCACTGCACATGTGCGAGTAGCGCTGCGCCTTCTGAATGGTCCTGTAGTCTTCTGGGACCTGTCACGTGTCCCAGTAGACTACAGGGAGGGAGGACGGCTTCCCTTCCGATTGCCTAGGCAATCGCAGCAGAAGTGGGAGGGAGTACCTGTCGATTTCGGGTACTCGCACCCCCACTCCCCACTTCCCAAGGGTGCCAATCCTTAACAGGGAGCAGTCCTCTAAAGCAGAACTTTCCCATTTGGGTGGAGTTCCGCTTTAAGCATATTGTCTTTTAGAGAATTGGCCACATGGCCTGGTGTGTTTATTCAAGTGTTCCTAGTGGGCGCCTCCAGTCCTTAACCTCAGATCTTCAACAAGTGGAAGACGAGGACTCTTTGCTGGAACATCTACCTTGAGGAGGTTGTTCACTTTGTTTGATTCATGTATGGCCTGACCTTACAATCTATTGTTTGGAGCCACCTTGTGCTGGTTCTGCTTTAGCGGAATGAATTCTGATTGTTGCTACAATTAACTAACGGCAATTAAAAATAATGTAATGTGTATTTCTGTACTACTTTTAATTAGTGCTCATCTGACATCCAATTTGCCAGAATGATTTTATATGCATTTATTACATTTCAGGCATTCAAGTGGAGTGGAGAAAATTCCTATTTTATTAATGGAGACACCGCTTCTTTGGCACTGGGAGGCGGAGGGTTAGTATTCACATATTTTCTATTGCTTTTGTTTTTTACATCAAAACATCTATCAGCCTATAAGCGTAATGGTGTCATATCACCAGTTATTTTTTTAAGTATGGTCTATAATAAAGAATAGGAGAAAAGAGACCAGCACGGAGCCCACTTATACTCCAGAAGCAGATGATACAAGTCTGAGAAGGAGGGTTGCACACTCATTATATTCATAATCAGAACCCCACCCCCCATTCCGTCAGATGTAAAGAGTCCCCCCCCCCCCCCCCCCCCCCCCCCCCCCACCCACCATTGGAAGACTCCCCCACCTTTTCTTGCATAACAATGCCCTGTGCTGCTTCTGTGAAGAAGCTGGGGGGGGGCGGAGCTGGGAAGCAGAAAGTTCAGGGTCTGGAGGAGGACCAGAGGAGGGATGGAGTCAGCTGCTGGAGACTATTGAATGTTGAGACCTGGGGAAGTGGAGGCGAGGGGGTGCTGAAGCTGCACAGTGAGTCCCAGGATCTGTCAAAGGATTTCTGTCGTCCTCTTTGCTGCCAACTGCTGAGGCATGGGGGGCGTGGGGCCTCTCTGCAGCTGCACAGAGGAGTGCAGGATCAGATGGAAGTTCTGTCCTCGCTGCTGCCAACTGATGGGACAAGGTGGGGGCATGGACGAGGGGGGTGCACTGAGAGGTGCGAGGGCCACATAAAATAGCCTGGTGGGCCAGATTTGACCCGAAGGCCTTGTGTTTGACACACGTGCTCTAGAGGCAGTGAAGCAGTCAGCCACACACAGGCAGCCTGCTGGGGTGAGTGGTCACTATAACAGGTTGTGCTTTACTGCCATTTCCAGTCTTGCTTTTTTCTCTTGTTACAAGCATAACCGATACAGCAAAAAAACTGCAGATGTATGTTTTATATATGCAGCCACTGAAACACATTCATTTATATGCCCACCTCTCCGCTTTAGATTTAGGTTTATCAAAACAGCAAAAGACCTTCCAATGGGAACAAATGCTCCAGTTACTGCTTTGTAAGTGAAGAATTATTCCCACTTCCTGTTCATTGCTAAGAGAGGAAGTAAAGGGAAATTTCCCCAGCAGGAAAAAAAACAAAACAATAACCAGATTAGGTTTTTTTCTCTACTCATTCCAAAACAAACCAAATATTTTTGCCATTTTAACCCTTTTAGTGCCACCAATGTATGTCATACATCTGTGTTGGTGGGGGGTTGTTTTACACACACTCCTGGATGCTGTGTAGTAGAGTATTTATTTATCTTTGGCTTCATTAGCGTCATCGAAGGGCACCCCTGATGTCTCAATAAAGAGCATCTGTCACAAAGAAAATATATCACCGATTTGATTTTTTTGGCCCCTATGTGAAATAAATAAGGTTTTATTAAAAAGTTAAAAAAAATAAAGTTACACCCAAGCACTTATCCCCCCTAAAAGAAAAGTAGTGCTCCAGCCCCACATACAGTACATATCAATGTGTGCCCATCAGGGGCACCTACGTGTATGAAAGCGTTGCTTGCATTAGACATGTTGCAGAATGCCACACACGCTGGATTGATTACAATAATTCTAAGCCCATTACTTACAGTTAACTCTAAAGTGATAACCTATAGGACCTCTTAAAGCAGGGGTGTCAAACTGGTGGCCCTTCAGCTGTTGCGAAACTACAACTCCCATCATGCCTCTGCCTTTGGGAATTCTGCTTGTAACTGTCAATCTTGCAATGCCTCATGGGACTTGTAGTTTGGCAACAGCTGGAGGGCTGCCAGTTTGAACCCGTGTCTTAAAGTGTCATCTATGGAAAATATAGGTCATCAAAGTTCAACATGTCAGGGATCTATTTACTCTGAACAACCTTGTCTTTTATTTTTTATCAAAAATGGGGTAATATTGTGCTTGTGTACTCTAAAACAAACTCTAGTGTTGTGATATTCTGGGGTGCAGTTCACTAGCACTAGCCGGCCCTGTCTTTGTAAAACAAACATTTTTTTTTAATTCTCAGAGAAAGTAAACCAATCAGCTTATCTTTAGCATTTGGCAAACAATAGTCCATCGACGCATCGAATTAGTACGGTTTTTACTAAAACTGGAGCACACAGAATCTGGTGCAACTGTGCCAATCAACCAATCAGCTTCCAACTTTATCTTGTTCAGTTAAGCTTTGACAAGAACCTGGAAACTGGTTACTAGGCTCAGCTGAACTAGATTCTGTGTGTCCCAGTTTTAGTAAATCCCCCAAGTTTTCAATAGGAAAGCAGAGGGACTGGCAGGAACACCAGTGATTTCACACAAAGGAAGCAATACAAAGAGAACAGGATACTTTTTCATACAAGTATATGGTACAGCAGGCACAAATCAGGAATATGAAATGTTGGGTTTACATAAACCCGAGGCAATTGAAAACCTGAAAGCACAGCTTTGATTGTCCTGCAGTCACGTCTTTTCGTGTCTGCACACAAGGTCTCCATATGGTGCTTAAAACCATGGAAGCTAGACCTTGTTGAATAAAGCTAAACAAAATTTTAACAATTTCTAACATGAAACTGAATGTATGCCTTTCCATTTAAGTATTAGTAATTTTTGCATCTGAAAACTGTATTTTATGTAATTCTTCACAGCGGTGGATTTGGCTTATGGCTCGATTCGGATTTATATCATGGACGGAGTAACTCCTGCAGCACATTTACCAATGACATCTTATCCAAGAAAGAAGACTTTATTGTACAGGACATAGAAGTGTGGACCTTTAAATAAAAGATACTGTGCTATAGGAAATGTTACATGTTAATGTTAGGTCAAAAGGAGATCCAGACAAGCAAGAAAATGGTCCATGAATTTTCATCCAAGACTTGCAATTGATTTTTTTCTTAGTGAGCTTAAAACAATATGACATTCATGTTTGCACTGAAGAATCCATGTTTTCCCAGGATGCAATAGTGTCCTGAACAAATCTCTTGACTACTCCAAGCAGTTTGTGTGCGTGGCTGCAGGATCTGAACACGTGGTTTATCGGCTTTGCTAAATGTTAATATTTTACGTCTAAGCCTTCATGTTTTGGTAGAGCGCACTTGACCAAATGACTTATTCACGCAATGTGATGAAAAGTGACAGCAGAAAACATCTTATTATGTACAAGTCTTAACACGTAAAACAAAGAACATTTTTCACATTTTAAGGGATCAATTCTACCATTTTACTTTCCATTTTATTTATTGAACGATTTTGCTGACCTACAATTTTAAACATGCCTTCATAGCACCTTTTTAATTCACTTACAATACATGCGCACAAATATGTACACCATGAACGAAAAATTCCCATGATATTAGCTTTATGACTTAAATAACGTGGCAAGGCCTTAAGTCTAAGGACAGGATCCAAAGAGCACATCAAGGTTCCCTTCAGCTGAACACCAGTGCTACGTTTATTATAAAGACTGTTGAAAATAAGGGAAGGTGTTGCCCATAGCTTCTAAGTTAGTTGGTGTCATTTCAACACTTTTTTTTTTTTTTTTTTTTTTTTTTTTTCTTCTTCAGTGTTTATCAAATGGCCATGCTGTGACTCAGCCAGTTTAGCTGGCTATTTTGTTTCAGAGAAATAGATCAAGGCAGAATAAAGATTTTTTTTTTTTTTTTTTTGTAAATTTGTTATTAGCCAAGAGATTGTTGGCAACAAAGTGTCTTTGTGAAAAAGATGTGGCATTGAGAAGTTAAGTTGTTCCAGGCAAGAGTATTGTACTGAGGAACGCAGGCCGTTTCTAAAAGCTGCTTGATTTTATTTTTGTAATGTGTTTTTTTTTTTTTTTTTTTTTTTCCTTTTTTCTTTTTTGTTTGGTTTGGTTTTCTGTTTATTTTTTTCTAAAAGCATTTTATTTTGCATTATTTCTTAAAGGGCAAAGTCTAGCAAACTGTAATTATGTCCGTTCGAGTAAGAATGGTATGTGGTGTAAAGTAAATCTGTTTAAACAGAGTAATGTGACCACAATAATCTGATTTGCTGGGAGATTTCTTGTAATAAAGTAAATATCTGGAATCACAGTTTGTAAATTTCTATGTTCAAAAAAATCAGTATAAATGTCTCTTTTTACGGAAGCTTTACACAAAGACTGCTTCAAAATAAATACGTTTTTTCAAAAAAATTATCACAAGGAATTCAAAAAAAATAATAAAAACCTCAAAAAAAGCAAAACTACACAGGAAACTTTTGATGGCTATGTGGTATGATTTTATCCACAAAGTGTGTACAACTCTGATTGTTAAAAATGATTAATCTTGCTAAGATATGATCCATATGGGGAAAAAAAAAAAGAAAACCACTCTGTCAAGGGTAAAGTTACTGAATAGGATGAGGTTAAAGCAGGGGTGCTCAACCTTTTGAAGAGTGAGGGCCACTTAAGTGATTTGGTAATCGGTCATGGGCTAAAATGAAGTAAAATGGTTCATTATGCTATTCAAAGTAAAAATGTGAACATTTTCCACCTGCAACCACTGAATGCCAGGGGGAGGGAGAGGAGGAGAAACCAGCTTTTAGTGATTGTAGGAGGAAAATGGAGAGTATCAGTTCCTGTAAATGCCACCCCTGGAGCATGGGGCGACCCCGGATGCTACACCAGTGATTGGGGGGCTGGGGTAAATACACATCTCAACTATAGAGTTTTACTGTGGGCCCCCCCCCCCCCCCAAACTTCAAATCTGAAAAAGCCCTTACTGTCCTGAGCCCCCTATAAGGCTGCTTTCACACTGATACTTTGTGCTTCACCTGCACCATGGGTGCAGCGCAGTGCACCTGAAGTTTTCCTGCAGGTTAGCTGCTCCTTTACATAGACCTCTATTGTATCTTGCAGGTGTAGTCCACTTTCAGAAAATGCATACTAGATTAGGAATAGAGGAAAAATCTTCCAATGGGGACACTTTTCCTGTCTGAGAGGATTATCTCTTGCTCCCTGTTGTGTCTACAAGACCAAAAGTAAAAAAGAAATCCTCCCTAGTAGGACATGGGCAACCCAAAATAAAATTAACACTTTTGCTACTCTACTAAAAAAAAAAAAAAAAAAAAAAAATTGTTCTAGACCAGTGGTCTCCATACTGTGTCCTAGCCCTTTTGCTTGCCTTCATCTGGCCTCAGAGGCATAATTCCTGCCAATGACACCAATGATGGGCCATAATTCCTTCCACTGGCACCAATGGTAGTACACTTTCTCCCCATAATACCAAAGATTGGGCATTGTTTACTTCCACTGGGCGCAGTCTGCCCCTCTACAGTCTGAAGGACTGTTAGCTTGCCCATTCTTTAGAAAGTTTGGAGACTCCTGGTCTAGATAAACTTTGAATTAACCTAGATTGTATTCATAAGCCGAAATAACAGATCCACAAACTACAAAGCTGTGCGTATGAAGTTCAAAACCAATTTAAAGCAGAGCTTCACCCAGAAGGAGAAGTGCTGCTTTAAAGACTGGTTCCCCGCTCCCCATTAAGAATTGGCACCTTTTGGGGAGTGGGTACCCAAAATTAACAGATTCCTACTTTTGCTGTGACACTCTCCAGGAGGTGGGTGTATTATTGTCAGAGAAGACTTCACGAGAGCAAATACAGAGAGTTCACCACAAGGCGCAAACCATTAACAAGCCTGAAGAATAGAAAAGCCAGATTAGACTTTGCCAGAAAAAAATCTAAAAAAGCCAGACCATTTCTGGAAAAGCATTCTTTGGATGGATGAAATGAAGAATAATCTGTACCAGATTGACGGGAAGAAAAAAGTGTGGAGAAGGCTTGGAACAGCTCATGATCCAAAGCACACAACGTCATCTGTAAAACATGGTGGAGGCAGTGTGATGGCATGGGCATGCATGGCTTCCAGTGGCATTGGGACATTGGCGTTTATTGATGATGTGACAGAAACAGCCGGATTAATTCTGCACTGTTTAGAGATACTGTCAGTCCAGATTCAGTCAAATGCAGCAAAAATGATTGGACGGCACTTTACAGTACAGATGGACAATGATCCAAAACACACTGTAAAAGTAGCCCAGGAGCTTCTGAAGGAAAAGAAGTGGAATATTCTGCAATGGCCGAGTCAATCACCTGATCTCAACCTGATTGAAGGCAAAACTAAAGGCAGAAAGATCCACAAAGAACAACTGAAGACAGATGCAGTTAGAACCTGGCAAAGCATCAGAATGGAGGAAACTCATTCTTTGGTAATGTCCATGAGTTCCAGACTTCAGGCAGTCATTTCCAGTAAAGGATTCTCAACAAATTATTAAAAATTAACATTTTTATTTATGACATTCATTTGTCAAATTACATTTGAACCTCTGAAAATGGAGGGACTGTGCATAAAGATGGTTGCAGTTCCTAAAATTTGTACTTGAGATTTATGTTCAACCCCTTGAATTAAAGCTGAAAGTCTGCACTTCAAATTTAATTTGGATTGTTTTCTTTAAATTCTGCTGGCATACAGAGCCAAAAGTATGAAAATTGTGCCTGTGTCCAAATATATATGGACCTAACTATGTTTTTCACAGGAATACATGTAGTCTGTACACCTGAGAAGAAAAACAATAGGCTCCACAATACTTAGACTGAAAAAAAAAGCACACAAAAAAAACGCCTAACCCATTACTCAAGATTTATTGGGAGAAATATTATAAAGCCAATTACATACTCCCAAATAAGAGAAACTATGCATGTAAAAACCACTGATGGTCTTCCAACATGGTAGCAGAAATCCCGAATGATGCTGATGTCGGCAAGCTGATTCGTTTCGGGGACATATCCCCTTCCTGAGAGCTAAAGCCGACTGTAGCTTATTTGCTCTATTATCATTAGGTCTAATAAAATGCAACTGAAAGCATTTTGTTATGTCTGTTCTGTACCCACCAAAAATCATGAGTGTTCGTATCTTCCTGTGCACTCTTCCTTTACTGCAATCATATTGGCTACATTATCCCCGAATTTACTGTATCTGTGGATGCCACCTTTGGCAGTCTTCCAGTACACCTATGACATCCTCAAATACTGCTATCATGAACTTCTGAGGTCCCTGGCAACTTTGCTTGCCGAATCTCTGAACCTCATAGAAGGGGTTCAAATAAAGTTTGTTCAACAAAACGCCTAGTCAGGTCACTGTAGGCACAACCCATTTTCTAAGAATTCTGTCTCGTCATGGCTGCAGTGCAGAAGCACATCCACAATAGAGAGGAGAGCAAGATTGAAGGAGATATTTGAGATAAACTTAATGATTTTCCTGACTGTTCCATTCCTTTTAGACAGAAGGTGGGAACCTGCAGGTCATCTACAAATTATGGTAGCCGTAACATACTGGCATTCTTTGTGCTCACAGGTGTCTGTTGTCATGGTGCAACATGGGATATCCTTCATAATTGCTGTATATACAGTACCTTTGCTCCTAACAAATGGTCTCTGATTTAATTCCCCTGATGGGATTGTTTTAGTTCATGTAAGTTGTTACAGAAGCAGTGAAGCATTTTCCATCAAACTGGTGTACTGTGTCAGCTACTGGGAGGGCATATCTCCTCATTTGCTGAGTTTTCTGAAAAAGTTGTGTGCTATAAGGGTGCTGCCCACATTTTGGTTCTAACAATGAAGAGCCACTCAGCTGGCTGCAAATCATTTGCCCAGCTACCTCTTCTTCAACAGAGGTGGCCTCCCTGGGCTGCTGAGGGAGGAAAGCTGAGGAACGTATCTTTCTTGGGAATGTTCAGGAACCCAGGGAGTTCTAGGTACATCAAAAGT